CGTGGTTTCTGCTTTGTACAGAAATAGGCCTTCTGGTTTACAACTGTTGTTCCTCTCTGCATACACAACTTGAATGTATTCATACCCATAGTCTGCAAGTGCTGCCCAGAACTGCTCTCAGTCTCATTTTGACTGCTCAAAGCATTTTCAGACTGCAATTATGTGCCCAGTACTGTTCTTCAGCCAAAAAAAACTACAAAAAAGGAAGATCTGTGAATACTGGTATTCACCAGAAACATTTCAGGACTTAAAATGTAACTTTGTTGCTCATTTAGCTTGCGGGTTATTGTTGATTTGGTTTTTTGTAATATCTCCTATACAACAAGGGCACAAAGTCTCTAGTACATCTACAGGTGTAACTACATGTTGATATGTACAATCACATTTCTAAAGTACAGCAGCAGAGCTTGATGCTAAGGAAATTGATATAATTAAATTCAAAGGATTTGAGGACAGGCTAAAGCTAAGCATGTGCTTAAATGCTTTTTTGAATAAGAATTAAGGTTGTTTACTCCTGCTTTGAAGTCCAGCTTGTGATGCTTGTTGATGATACCTACCACATGCAAGATTTAAGGCCTTGCCTTTACTTTCAGACTCACTTAAGATGGAATTTGCAAATGATACATTAGGGAGAGACAAGATGCAGAGTTTTGTTTTCCAGAGAAAGCATAAGCTGCCTTTAAATTCCATACCTTGTCAGAGTGGGGCTGCCCCACAGAGGCAGTGATCCAGGAACTGAGGGCAACCACACAGAGGCACTGACCTGACCAAGGGCTCATCCCAGAGCATCCAGCCAGGTCAGGGCTGGGCTGGAATGGTGCCAGGGGCTGTAAGAGTCCAGTGGTCATTAAGGAAATAAAGGAGGACAAGCCAGGTCCAGGGTCAGGCCAGGAAGCCACTCAACAAGTCAGGAACAGCAAAGACCAGAGCTGAGAACAGTCTGCCTAAAGCCCAGCCTGGGAGAGGAGGGGGCTCTGGGTAGACAAAGACTCCTGGTATGCCCAGGGCCTGGCACTTCTTCTTGGATTAACATGAGATTTCACCATTTTTATATTTAAAGAAGCCACTGACAGTAAAACACATCTCATGCTAGATGCAAGAACAAGCCTCAGGCTCTCATGCAAATATTTTAGTTGCATGAATTTATTGCTTTTAGAGAACCATTTCTATTGACACAGGAGATACATATATTTACAGTGCATCTTAGTAAGATCCTAACTTACTTAGGCAAAGGATGAGAAGAAATGGTTAATAAATAGAAAAGAGCAATGGCTTAGTGTTCACTCAATAATACTAAATTGTTATTCACAGATTTCAGGGTGTTTTTCAAAGAAACTGAAGAAATTCAGAGAGAATGAACAAACTGTGCATAAGCCATCCAGCAGGTTGAGATCAGAGAAGCAGATATTTTGGATTTGTTTTGGATCACAGTCTGAACATGGATGATCCATATTGTGTTGTTGCAAAGAAGTATCAGTTGTACCAGGGTATTAAATTTTATATCAACCATGTTCCTTCTTTCTAATGAGTGGAATATCATAGCAAGAAATCAGCGGGTCACCTTATCCATTGCCACAACCTAAAGTAGGATCATATAGATCAGCAAAGTGCTCCAGGTTACACTTAACTCTGGAATTATAATTGTGCAGTTAATCAGCTTCATCATAGTGTCAGCCAGAGCCCAGAAAATATTAATGCTGGCGTAAGACACTGAGGCAGAAAATGAGTAGCAAGGGGAGGAAAGGCAGAGATTATTTATACCAGTATAATGTGCTGAACTATGATTCTACTTGAACTTACTGAACATCTTTTTATTATTTATTTTAAAGTTATTATTTATTTTAAATGTTTCCTGAATGGTCAAAAATGTTTTGAAATGTAATTCTGTGTTCTTCCTCCAGCTTTGCACCACCTGCAAAATTAATAAGAATTTTCTCTGCTCTGTTACATAAGTTGTTAATATCAATAACACAGAGACACAGACTGAAGACAGGTTTTAAAAAAACAGCAATATATCCTTTCCTTTTGTGAGTGAACTATTTCTTGCTTTGAACTACTCCTTGCTATGCAGGAAGTCTTGTACAGACCTCATAATACATTTACTCTTCTGTATTTCTTTAACTTTTTAAAGAAAATATCATGTAAGTGTCATAAACATAATCAAGCCGACAGCAGGCTCTGTCCTATACATAAGGCCTGTTCTCTATTGGAGGAAAAAAATCAAGTTATCTGGTGTGATTTATTTTTGACAGATCCATGTTGACTGCAAGTTTTCTCTGGTTATCATCTAGGTGCTAATAATAGTTTGTGAAGTTTATTTGTCCAAGGATTTTTAAATGAATTTAACATAGTTACACTTAAATTGAGCTGTATTTCTCTGGCTCTATCCCCCCTCTGATAACAGCAATGTACAGTTGCTGCTTCTGTTTTCCCATTTTTCAATTGTCTTTCAAACACGTTCATTAGACTCAAACTGAAAACATTTGGTTCATCTGAGTGTTCTTTGTCTGTTCTTTACCTACTCTGGGCTGAGATAATTTTGTTCTCAGCATCACCAGCTCCAACTATCTGCTTGTGCATGGTCTTTTTTGTAAGTCTAATACAACAGAAACACCAATCCCTTTAGCTGTATTCATAATTTGTTGATAGATTTTCTTCTCTGTTGAGTAGGGAGTTAGTAATTTATCTATATCGTTCTTAGTAAAAATATATGTAAAGAGCAGTTTTTATCTGGTAGCTCTTGACAATTCAGTGGTTTTGCAGCAATACCTTTTTTAGTATTTTTTTCTTATTCTTAGTGATTTGACCCATCTTCCTTTGCATTTTCTTCATGTGTTTAAGGTCAATAGAGACCTCATGATGTGGCCAGGCTAAGCTTACTGCTATTTCTGTTCTACTCACAATTGGGATAAATGGCCCTTTGAATTATTTTCTAAAGCATCATTCCTTTTCTTAACTCCTTTTTTTTAAACTTCCTTCCTATGAGATCTTAACTATTGACTGCTTAAATCTTTAGCTTTCATGACTTCTGTTTTTATTTAGCTGTTCTCTTTCCTTCCTTTTCAATGGACAAGCTGACATTTTAAAAACACTCTTTTTTGTGAGCAAAATGCTGCTCACTTTCATGTTTTCAGACAGCTATTCTTCACTGGCCAGCTCTGAAAAATACACAACAACCCCAAACCAACCAACCAAGCCCTCATGTTCTTGAGGCTAGGCCATATTCTAAAGAAATCACTACATCTGACAACGTAGTGCTGCTCTGATGGAAAGGAGTTTTCACTTCACCAAAGATAACTCAAGAAAGAAGTCAGAGAACCAGACCCCAGACACTGACAAAGGTGAGACAGTGAAATGCAGAGACAAGGTATAAAACTGCCTGGGATTGCTTCTAGCAGCAGTAGCTGCCCTCTTGTATGTGACTGAGGGAGTGGAAGGGGACAGATTTGTCCCAGGTTGTTCATTGGTAGGCCCCTAAGAGACAGTACTCTGTGCTTTGTGAGCAGTCATCCTGTGTTTTAGAAATAGAGCATCTTTTTGAACAGTAATCCTACAGCTTAGAAATAGAGGAAGAAGAAAACTGCCAAATATTGGTGTTAATGCTCAATTGCTTGAGTATTCAGGCTGTGAAGCAGGGTAGTGCAGCGTGAGTGTGTTGCAGGTATGTGTGTGTCTGGTTAATGGGAGAGGAATTTACAGGAACATCGTGCTGCAGGTTTACATCAACAATAGGTGTTTTAATCAATCAGTAGTGACTGAAAAGCCAGCATTTTGTAGAATTCTTATTAAGCTCAAATTGTGGAAAGAAGTCCTTGAAGATTTTGGAAAAGCCTGGTTGGATCCTTCTTTCCCAAAAAGGGGAGTAATTTCTTCCACAGCAGAATGGCAGTGACATATATCCTCCAGCTTTACAGACCAGGTGTTGCTGCTGCTGTGTCTATATAGAAATAACTTTGGCTCAGCCAGTATTGATATCCAACTGGTCTTTTCAAACTTTTTTGTGGAACTAAGCTTTTATTTTCAATTAATCAGGCTCAACAGTTTGGCCAGTGATGGTGCTGTCCTAATGCTGTCCTGTGGAGAAGGAAAGCCCTGAAATAATCAGGATGGGGTTGCACGCAGGTAATGTGAAATAAAATCGGTAGGAGACAGCTCTCGGGGATGACCTAACTCTAATTGCCTTAAAAATATCCCCTTAACCTGCTACTCTCTCTGGTTCTCCACGGACCTTGGTCTTTCAGACAGAGTTACATATTTGCAATACAACCTCTTCACAATGCCACAAACCAGGAACCAAACCCGTGCTCCGCTGCACAGGGCACACATGGCAGTAAATCGTCTAAGCACTGACACAAGTGGGGTCTGCGCTCTGTGCAAGGCACTGGGCACGCCTGGCTGCAGGCATCTGCCCATGTCCAGACCGGAGCCCCGCTCGCATTTGTCCTTCCTCGTCCGACCTACCTATATCTGCTTCAACGGCACTTGGAAAACTCGTTTATCGAGTCGAGGTCGCTGCCGTCTGCTCGGCGAACCCGACCGCGCTGACGGGCGCGCAGAGCTGCGCCCGGTCCTTGCCGCCCGCCCGGCCCGTGGCACTGAGGGGACGAACCGCGGGCAGCTGCGAGGAGGAGGAGGAGGAGGAGGAGGAGGAAGGAGGAGGAAGGAGGAGGAGGAGGAGGAAGGGGGGCGAAATCAGGGACAAGAGGCGGGAGGGAGGCGCGGACGGGGAGCGCGCACCCGCCGAGGGAAGGCGGCGAAGGGAGGCGGCGGGGAGCGGAGCGGGGCGGGCGCAGCCGTGCGGGAGGGAGGAGCGGGCGGCGGGCGCAGCCAATTCGGGGGCTCGTCCATTTTTCGGCGTGAGTCAGGCACGTCGGTGGGGTGATGCTGCGGCGCCGGGCAAGGGCCGGGCCAGCCGCGGGGAGCGGCCCGCCCGCTCGGGCCCGCAGTCTCGGCCGTGCCGGCGCTGCCGCCGAGCCTAGCGGCGCTTCCTCCTTCCCGTGCCTCGCCCGGGCCGGCGCCATGGCCGGGGGCGCCGGGCCTGCCGCTCCCTGACAGCCGCCCGCCCGCGGAGCCACGGCGGGGCGGGCTCGGGGGCTGGGTACGGCGCTGGCCGCGGGTAAGGGCAGCCCAGGACGGGGAGGAAGGGGCGAGCGGTGGGCGGCAGAGCCGGGCGGGGAGAGGAGGGGTCCCGGGGAGGGGGTCTGGAGCTGGCAGGCTCCGTGCAGCTGCGGCCTCTGCCTCCCTCAGGCTGCGTGCGGCTCTCCTCCGGGCAGCGGGAGGGACGGGAAGTGCCCGTGCGCCGAGCGGAGCTGCCCGCTGCTCACGGAGCCTGGCCGGGAAGGGCTGCAGCGGCTACTCTTGGCGTTTCGTGCTTCCTCAGCCCGGCAGTGTTCCGGCTTTGATTCCGCCTTGCTCCTACCTGTTCCTGGAGAAGAGGTACCCGCCATGTCTCGCTACAGCCTGCACAACCTCCTGGACTGGATGTACGGCGGGGTGGACCCCAGCTTTGCCGGCAATGGGGGGCCGGAATGCGCCGCCTTTCTCTCCGGCCGGCAGCGCTTGCTGGAGAGTTTGGTCTTCCTCAGCGTGGGCACCGTGGAGATCCTCGTGTCCCTGTGGAAGCTCCGGCAGCAGCATGTCCAGGAGCTGGAGAATCTGCTGCAGCAGCCCCAGACTAAGCAGGAGAGCCTGGGCAAGAACGCGCTGCTGGTGCTGCTCTGCCTCATCTTCGGGCTGGAGGTGGGGTTCAAGTTCGCCACCAGGACTGTCATTTACCTCCTGAATCCCTGCCACGTGGTCACCGTGATGCAGGTAAGGCTTGTGCAGGGTCACCTGGAAGTTTGCTTTTGTGATGCACTTGCAAAGCAGTATTTTTTTTCCCTCCCGTAGTCGGTTTGTGGACTACAAGTGCCTAGCAAAAATACAAATGCCAAGAATGGTATAAATATTTTAAATCATAGGTTTTGGTCAGCTGAATCAAAATTTATAAAAAAGTCCAAATCAGATGAAAAGGTGAAATTTGTAGCTATAACTAATGTCCTGAACTCTGGTTGAAAGTGTAAGTAATTAAGGCTTACTCATCACTTGCCTTCACCTGATCCTTGCTTCAAGAATAGAAGGTGCTGTTTTCACTGACAGCAGTGCTAAAATTTGCACCAAATGTAATGAAAACAAGATTAAATGCAAAACCAGCTATATAATTTATGTGCAGCTTTTTCAAGCAAGTGCCTTCTAGGGGTGTGATTATATTTTGTGAAGGTGTTGGAGAAACAAATTACTCATTGTGCAGATACTGTTGGTTTACCTTTCTAATTTTAGAGGCTGAATAGTAAAGAAACAGATGTTACCTGTTTCTCATATGTGGGGTGAACAAACTGATGTGGCCTAATATGTGTGGATAAACCATTTCCTTTTATGACTTGTGGCATGGTTGTTGATGTGTAATCATGTGCAATTTGTATAGACTTCAAAATAATGGATACGTAGACAAACTGTTAATGAACTGGGCTATCTAAAACTTATAAATTGTGTTTGTTAATAGTCCTGTGCATGTACTTAACTATCAGTTTCACTGAGCTCATTAAGGAGTGTTGCAGATGTCAAAAATATTGTTATTTTGCTAATTTTGTACCCTCAACACTGAATAGCTTAAAAACTTCAAGGTCAAGAATTAATTGAAGAATGTCAAAAAGGCTTTCATAAAAGTTGCCATGGTAGCAGTGTCTGTCTAAGATCAATAACAGATACAAATCAGATCAATGCCTATTGGGTCTCCTATTGCAGAATGTGAGGTGATCTGGGCTAAATCTGATCTTGGCAGTTGTTGGATCTGGCACCTGGAGAGCATTTCCTAAAAGGCAGGGAAACATCTTTTCCAGTTGTTCCAGCAGTTTGAGAGATGGGTTTTATTTCAAGGGGTGGGGTGGAGAGGAAAGAAGCTGATACAGCTATATTCAAGACCCTTACAGCAATTAATTTACAGCTCCAGAAATAATAAGTAGGCTATGTAAATTCCTAGGCTGTGATGTAGTGCTTGCTCAGTAATTTACAGCATAGGACACTTCCTTCCCTTGAAGTGATAAGGATTGTTGTGCAGTCAGTCAGCGTTGGGGTGAAGGTGTGCCAGGACTATGTAAAAATAATTTAAATAATATGGCCACATTCTCTTTCTAGGCAGTACTCAATAGTAACTGGGAAATTTTCCTATTAATTCTCTGGAAAAGAGATGAGGATGTATTAGCAGTAGGATTTGAAAATTTAGTTGCCTTTATGTTATGATGTTAATGACAAGTATTCAGATGATTGCTTGCACAGACCTGGGACAGCTCTGTTCACCTCTTTCAATAATGGCTCCTGAAAGGGAGATGGAGTCAATTGAGAATTAAGCTCTGTAGTCAGGCATTGCCATTTCTGAATCTCTTTTGACTAATTGTGAAGTTTTAAAAATAATCCTATGCTAATTACTCACTAGAAATGGTGTTCCAGCATTTGTGATATTGAAAAGGTGAGTTTATTGGCAAAATGTAGAAATCATGCCCCTTTATCCTTAAAACAATGTATTAAAAATAGGCCTAGGCTTAATGTAGAGAAAGAAAATAATGGCAAAACCAGTGGCTCTCAGCAGACAAAGAGAGTTAGAGCCAAAGATAGTCAGTGACCTCCACCAGCAGATGAGTAATACATAGTTGGAAAACATTGTTTTCCTAGCCTGAGTTTGCTCAGGGCAACAGATTTTCAAGATGAAATATATGAAAATAGAATTTGTCCTTCCCTTCTCTTCTTGTAGTAGTGTGTACATAATCCTGCAGGGTCTAAATAATAGAATGAACAAAGTAGAAGGTGAAGAGATGAAACGTTCTACGACAATCAAGATCACTTCAAAGGGAAGCCAACAGTAGCTGTTGATAAAGGTCTCTTCTTTCACTCTATTTCTGTTTTCATTTTCTTCAGCTGAGACTGTTTCACCTCAGCAACAAACACTCTGGGCTATGAGCCAAAAATATTTGAAACTGAAAGTTATGTTTCAGGTTTTCCCTGGACAAAAGCAAAATTCCTGCTCTTAAAAGACTTTAGACTAAAATGAGATCAAAGTAAAATGGAAGTTAGATGTGTGTGCATTTGGGCAGACAAAACTGTGTAATACAATGGCTACTGAGTTTTAGAAATGAGTCTGTTCTGACCAGGTGTTTAATTTCTGCCTATCATGCCAACCTGTGTTCAAATCTTTTCATAAGTGGAAAGAACTAGTTTAGATGTGTCATTGCAAGGATGAAGTGTTGATCAAATGAATGTATTTAACTGCCTCAGCAGGTCTCATGGTTAATCAGCTTCCCAGAATTTGTTGCCATCCTGTCATCTGGTTGAAGCCGTGGCACTCATTTCCTGTTCTGGGTTTTGGCTTCTTGCTTAGCTTTTGGAGGAAGAAGGGTGTTTCTTCAGTGTCATGCATGCAGCATCATTGGGAGAGAAATCCTTCAAGTCTTAAAAAATAAGTCTTTTGTAACAAAGGTGAATAGAAACTGGTGTGCTTTTCTGCCAGCTGTGGGGTGGGGATGGGGCTTGTTTGTGCAGCATGGTGTTTACTTAGTGTGTGGTGCAGCAAGGGGAGAAGTCTGTGTAGGAGTTCATACTGAACTCTTTCTTTACATAAAAAAATGGTCTTTGTGATAGTTATTTGAATGCCTCTATTAAAAAAAGAAAACAAGAACAAGTCACAAACCACTCTACTTTTAGGATTGGCAATATGATTGGATTGGTGCTGCTGCAGACCTGACATAAAAGGAAAACATTAAGTCTCTAGGCTGTTCAAAACCTATTTGCCTTTCCATAGCAGGAAACAAAAATCAGCATATGTTTTAGGAGCCAGGTGTTATATTTTCAAGACATTACTTCTTTCTATTATTTTTGGGGACATAATTGTGGTATTGAAATTGGCTATGTGAAGGAAATCTTTAAAGTTTCTGAATGAGCAGCATGAAGAAAGATTCCCTCAAGAGCCAAATACAGCACTATTGATTTCTTTACAAGCTTTGTGAAGGAGATCTTGAGCTGCAGCCAGTGTGCTTGTTGAGAAGTACAGACACAAGTGCCGTGTTCCTGTCTATGAGCATTGCTTTAGTGAGGTGAAAGGAAAATGCCACTCTTTGCAATGTCAAACCAAATTACTTGTAACCAATTTTCTTTATCTATTTTGTATTCTTTAAACTTTAATTTTTTATTAGTTGTACTGCTTTGAAAGCAAACCAGTGAGAGATCCCAAGTCAGAACTACAATTTAATAGGAACATTAAAATGAAATGCAGTAGTACAAAGGCACTGACAGAATCAGGATACAACCTGGCACTCTGTGGGTCAGGGTGGTGGCAGCAGTCCCACTAAATGGTGGCTGCAGCCCTCCTGCAGTGACAGCTGTGGTTCTGTTGGAGCAGTGATCCTATAAAGGGTGGAGTTTTCCTCTGAAGGCCCAGTGGTGGTGCAGATGGGTCTGGCCTTCCTCTGGGAATCCAGTGGGAACAGGCTGGCTGTGGTGCTCCAAGTCTCAGATTCTATCCAGGTAGGAGTGCTTGGCTCCTCCCCCAGCTGGAACATCTCACCCTGGGATGATGAAACTTTCTCAGTCATGCAGTGAGACACAATGGCCCATTAATAGAAAATATCTCCTGGAGGAAGGATGGGTGGTGGAGGAGATGAAGAGCACTGCCCCACCTGGTTTTAACAGCTGGTAATAGAATACATACCTTTGATTACATCTTGCATTGCAACCTAAGAAGTTACTTTTCAGCCAAACCCCTTGTGTTCATGTAGCAGTTCTTCATTTCACATTTAGTGAAGGAGCAGTTAGAATTTATGAAAAATAACTTGTTCCTGTACCCCCATTTTGTAATTTGATACACAGAATTTGCAACTTGGTATTCACAATTAAGGTATCTTAACGCAAATGAGTTAACACAGGTGTCTCTTGATGTCCTGAAGACACCCAGGTGGAGTTAAAAGGCAATTAAGTGTAGACAGGACTCAGAACTAAAATTAGTCTGTATTGCAATAGAGAAACTTGTAACCAAAAAAAAGAAAAAAGTAAGGAAAAAGCCATCTAAATTGGAGGATGTAGGTAACACTGGTAGGGTGATGGAATCTCAAAAGGTCCTTTCCAATCTTAATGATTATGTGATTATGATAATGTATTTCTTTTTAGAATGATCTTCAGTTTAAAACACTGAAGGTTCTGACTGATCAGTCTGTAGAAATTCAAATGGCATGTGTATAATTTTATTGAAACCTTAATGAAGTGGCAGAAACATGACTGCAGTCTAATCTTAAAATGATGGGTTGAACGACAGCCAGTTGTTCTTGTAAACTGTTGTGGATTTTGAACTTTAGTATGTCCAAGCCTTCTTCCAGAATGATGCTTTAATGTCAATCTTAAAATAAATATTGTAATTCTATTCTATAAAGAGTTTTGCAAAAATAATTTCTCAGTGGTAAATTACAGCTGGTCAGTTATTGTAATTCTCTTCACTGAATTATTTCACTTCAGCCGGTTAAGGACTGACATTTGTTTGGAATAAAGAAAAGTGTGTTTGTAGGAAACATCTGTTTTCCTGGGTTATTGCTTTGGTGATCTTTTTAGGCAAAGAAAAGTGTAAAAAGGAAGCAATAGGTGGAAAGAAGGATAGGTTTCACCTAGTGATTTTGGTCTGATGTTTGCATAAATAAAGTGAGTGCTAAGTGCATCTGCAGCTCAGTAAATACTAAATTCTGTGTTCATTATTTCCAGTTCTGGCTTCTTTAGAGACCTGGATCCTTTCTGTCCTC